TTTAAGAGTACATGTTATGTTTAATTTAAATGTAACATTTTTATTTTAATGTAAGACTATGTTTTACTTATTTTAAATTTAACAGTAATTTACTTTCAAATGCCCCAATTGCTGAAGGGTCTACACAACTTTTTTGTACAAGTTCAAGTTGCATTGTTCAAAATACCTGTAGTAGCACAGCAGTGCATACCTGTTTACATTTAATTAAGGTTGACTTAGACCAGACTGTAATACAAATAGTTGAGTTTGCCAGGTGCATACAACGTTTATGACAGGTTTTCATGAAAGTGTTGGTCAGTTTGTCTGCTTGACAATCCAATTTTGCACTGCAACAATAAAATTGAAGTGAGATAAACAAACTGAGAAATGTTTCTTTTTAGTTAAAAAAGATGTTGCAAAACAGATGTTGTCAAAGTTTTCCTTTGAGGACATAATTTGAAGTTGGAAAAAGGTTATAAATTGCAATATATCGCAGAATATCACAATATATTTAAAATCGCAATAATATTGTATCGTGACACAAATATCGTGATAATACCGTAACGTGGGGATTCGGGTGATTCCCACCCCTATTTCCTAGGAATAAAATCCTTTGGAAGATAATGTTATTTTTAGTCCAGTGATTCTGTATTTCTCTTCTCTCCTTTTTATTTGCACTCCTTTTAACACACCAGCGGGTGGGGCCAAAGATGTGATAATGTAGAAGTAGGTGATGATCTAATTCTGCAGAGGCGGTGCTTCTGTTGCACTATTACATCACAAAGTGACAAAATCTGAAATAATTCGTTGTCTGAGCTTGGTTTCAATAAAAGCTGTTTTTGGACTAATGGGGAAGTTTTGAGCTCTGAAACTCAAAGGATGTTTTTATAGTACAATGATTTCTTACAAATCAAAAGATCAAGGAAAATTTGATTTCTCAATTCATGACCCCTTTAAGAGAATCAGTCACAGTTGTGACATATAAAGTAAAATTGTGATAAACAAAGTTTCAATTGTGTGACATAATAACTATTAAGTAAAACAAACTCCCAGATGTAAAGTCGCAGATAGGCCTATATTGTAAGATATAAAGTCATGTGAGATAGAGGTGCGACTTAGAGGAACAGTCACAATTGCAACAGATTTTGTCACAGACATGAGCTATAAAATCACTTTTTTATAACTGTGATGTCTCAAAGTCAAAGTCGCAATTATAAGGAATAAAAGTGGCAATTACTATAAATTAAGTTGCAGTTAAATTTTTTGCATAGTGATATAGATTTTTTTATATATCATAGGAATCACATGACACTCTGCAGCCATTCACTAGTTTAACAGTCCATTTATCCCTTCAGAAATAAAAGCCCCTCCTTTAAGGAGGTACTGACAAGGATCGAGGCCCACCCAGACTGCCGGAACCTTCCAATGATCTCCTTCCTCATCCTTCCCATGCAGAGAGTCACACGGCTGCCCCTGTTGATGGATGTGAGTGACATTATACCTCGACTTCCCCTTTAGACCCAGCCTGAGCTCTGCTAACATCTCTAATGCTGACATAAACATCTAGCTCTCTTGAAACTGCATTTTCAGTCTTCGGACATGCATCTTGTGCTTTGATCAAGGCTATTATAGTTTTTAATTTTTAAATTAGTTTTATTTTAATATCGTTTTCAAATTTGCTATACAATTCAGTTTAGTTTTTATTAGTTTCATTATTGTTGTTAGTTTTAGTTGTTTTTATTTTGTGAACACATTTTTATTTCGTTTTTATATAGTTTAGTTTCAGTTTTAGTTTCAGTTTTAATTAAAGTTTAGCAGAATTAACAGATAACTTCCAGAGCGCAGGCCAAAGAAAGACTTAATTTTGCCTTATAGGCAAACGTCTAGCGACACAAAATTAACGCATGCTAAGATATTGATTAAATGGTTATAACGCATGCTGAGATTGATTAAATGGTAAAAGTATACAAATATAGGCCTACGCCAAAATGAAGCAGTCAAGCCTTTTTACTAAATAAATATACACAAGTTGTGCTTAATGTCATATCTAATTATGTGTACTGAGATATTTAATATGACAATAAACGTAGCCTAATTTGGTTATGATGGTTAGATGTCATTTTTTCTTTTTTAACAATCATAATATATTGTAACTGTCGTGTCTTGCTCACTTTTCCGTGAACAACTGCGCATAAATCATAACTGGGACTAATGAAATTCAATAATAACGGCAAACGCATTAAGGCTCATATTTGAATATGTTCTTTTCATTTATTAAGAATTATAAGCGTGTTTATGATGTGATCAACCCGTTGTCATCAATCTGCTTATAAATAACACGACTTTACACTTTCTAATTGCGTGTAATGCATATAGGCTACGCCAAATGCACTAGATCCAGCGGAAACTCCAGCATTTATATATTTTTAAATGTTAGACATCACTACCTGAACATCACAGCTGTTTTCTGCTCCTCATCTGTATAAAGTTGTGCCTTTCTCAACTTTTTGACTCGCTCAATGCTTTCTTGGTCTACTGTCAGACGGACACCGACACAAACACTTAAAGGAATCATGAGGTTCAGGAATCATGTGTTTCTTTTAATGACAGCAGTCAATATAAAAACTGAACAATTATTTGAACTGTACATTGAACTAAACATTTGAACATTTCTTTTTATACACAAAGTGTGCAGCTTTAAAAAAAAAAAAAAAGCTGATATTTTTGCCTGCTTTTCAAGTGGTTGATGCGTCATATTTTCCGTTGCGTGCTCTCTGTCCACTGGTGGGAGTGTGCTCCCCTGTGTGCGCGCGGAAGGTAACCTTAAATGACTTCTGTTGTGATTTGGCGTTATATAGAAAATAAAATTAAATAAAATTAACTTGAAAATTAATAAATTATTAATTAATTAATACAATTAATTAGGGGGCGCCCCCTAATATAATGGCAGGAGAAACACTGCAAGAGGGTAAGGATCTGGTTAAATTTTGATCTCATAGCTTCAGCAAGAGTTTAGAGTGTCACCACAAGGAGCAAGTAAACTTGTGGGTTTTTGCTGCTGTTTATTTTACTTGTAAAACTTGTTCACACATTCTCACCTGATACACACATGCTGCTCACTCGCTGTGGGTCTTGTGTTCATCGTATTTTTCCCTGTTATTCGCAAACGTGTTGTGCATGTGCAGTTTAAACTTACTTTGCATGCACACAGTGATGCATTGGACACACTCACTAATGCAAACATATCGTCCCCTTGGAATTATACGGTTCTATCTGCATTCCGAGTAGTTTGAGATATTGAGCTTCAAAGTTTTTGCATTCCATTCGACTGTGTAGATAGAACCTTTTTGTTTTTTTAAATAAAAAGTCCCAAAATGTACACAACATTAAAAAATCTATCACATAATGTAAATTATGTGTATGTGAATAAGAATTTGTGAATAACTCAATTTTGACAAAAATGTCAGATAGAACCTTATAATTCCAATGGGACGATATTTACAACCTGCTGCTTGAGCATTGTGGGACAGTTCTGCTGGCACATTTGGTACAGGCAGTTGTCTAGACTCTAGAGGGTTCTGCATAATCACAAGACATTGCTGAGTCCAGCTGTTAGAAGGTCAGTAGCTCTCAGAGTTCTTTCTGACTTCATTTCGAGCAGTTGCAGCAGTACAGTACGTGTCATAGTGTGACTTTATTGCTTATTTTAAACTTTATTTCACAATTACCAGACTTCCATAGATAACAGTCAGTGGATCTCATGTACTAGCCATGTGATATTTGCATGAAAGCATTTTCACAAACAAATCACTTCCCGATAAACAAAATCAAGTTGTGCTCTACATTTTTCTTCTAATTTTCAAACATTTTACTTGTTTATACATTGCAATAGATAAGAAAATACAATTGCAGCTGCAGTTTCAATACCAATTTTAAAATGTTAGTTGTGTTTGAACTTGCTTTGAAGATGGCAAACTTGCCGTTGCTCAAAGATATTTTTGCATATCTTCTCAGGTGTCCTAAGTGAGAGCGTAGTATGTTTGATGAGAGCAGGGGCGTAGCCATCATTTCAGAAGTGAGGGGGACAGAAATGAGATATATATATATATATATTAATATAACATATATAAACATTACAATATAACATTTCTGTAAGAAAATCCTTTATATGGAAATGGTTTGGCCATGTTTTATACAAATTAACACATGGTTGCTAATCAACATTAGAATGAAATTAAAAGAACAAATTGTGAAAAAAAGTAATCGATCAATTATGAAAACATTTTTTTTTTAACAAAAAACATTTCATTTTTAATATTGTGATTACATACATTTTAATATTTTGGCAATGATACATTTGAAAAACAACTAGGTATGGATATTGTGTACCATTTTTAGCTTTAAAAACTCCTAGACGGAGCAAAACTAAAGCAATCACGACTGTCTTTGGTGTTCCATTTGCTGCCCTTCTTTGCCTCCAAAGCCAAACTTCTTAGCCTTGTATTTCCTCTTGAGACAGATTTAGGGGGGGGGAGTCATTTTTCACTTTCTGAAAAATGACTTCAGAAAGATGGCAGCATCATAATGTTAATTTGACAGAGATTGGTAGGTCTGTTAGTAAAATCTGTTGACTTTAGCAATCTTTGTTGCATTATGTGTCAATGGTGACCATTCAAAAATGGGGAAACAGCACGTTTCAAGTTTTTTCTCCAAAGTTTGCATGCCTGTAACTCAAGAAGTCTTAAAGATATCTTAATGCCCTTTTAGATATTGGGTCTTAACAAAACTTCATTTTACATGTTTATCTTTACATGTCTACATGTTTATCTTTCTTCAGACAAAATATTAGCAAAATCAAAAATTTGAGCTGGGAATTTTCTGAAATTTGGTTGATTTGACACGAAATGACCCTTATTTATTTATTTATTTAAAAATATATATTTTTTATTGTTTAGCAATTAAAAATGACCAAAATGCACATCCCTATCTATGTTAACTTTCTTCATGTCGGTCGTGTTGCATTGAAACATTAATTATTCTGTCTGGTTCACATTTTCTCCTTTCACACTTTCTCTCTGCAGCCGTTCCCACTGGTGTCGTCCTCCCGCTGGATGGTGAAGCGTGGTGAGCTAACAGCTTTTGTAGAGGAAAATGGCATCTTTTCCAAAAGGAAGTCTCGCCAGCAGGTCTATTTCTTCCTCTTCAATGATGTCCTCATTGTCACACGAAAGAAAAGGTGAGCTGGAGACCACAAATGAGATCTCTCATACTGTGTCCAAATGTACCTCTGTTCTTCCCTTGCTGTTATTGTGCCCTGGAGGATACTATAGAGAACAGGAAATTATTGTGCTAACATAAATGGATGTGGAGGTTGTGGAGGTATGTACAGGTGGGTGTGGATTGTTGCAGAGGTAGGATAAAGTTAGCTACATCACTCATACCACTCATACCAA